ATCTGTTGACCCAATCGGTAAACGTTTCAGAACACGCAGTGAGGCGCGAACTAAGTTTGGGATTCAAAACTTGTGATAATTCATCATCCTTCCTCACACCAATTAGCGCAGCAATCAAAGCACCAGCGCTGGTACCGGTGATTACTGTTGGCAAGACGTCAGCATCGAACAGAGCTTTAACTATTCCGAGATGATAATAACCAAAGCATGCACCACCACTCAAACAAAGTGCAGTTCGACCGTAGTTTTTGTGCATATTCCTGAAAATTTTTTTCTTATCCTCCAGCGATAATGAGTTTGTTGTTCGAAGGAAATCCAAAGCATCGGTTACTAAAGGATATACCCAACTTATTATTATTGCAAATTTATGTGGATCGGTAGTAGATCTTAGAACAAGAAAAATGGGTTACCTTCATTGTAATAGTTTTCCACTAGTTTTTTTGTTCCGTAATAGGTCTGAGAATATAATCTAACATTTTCTACACCAGCAAAATTGTTTTTCACACAATTTTGAACGGCGTTTTTCAAAAGCAATGCATTTTCATTCGGACCTTTCATTAAATTTTTAAGATCTCGATTGACCTTTTGTAAAAGGTTAAAATCATAATATCCAAATGGAATCTCGTTTTTCCACTCATTGTAGTTAAAGTGTTCGTCGAGTTCATTTGCGGCAACCACCCATTCTTCATACGTTGTTGTTCGTCGAAGTTTCTCTCTAAGAAGATATCTTTCGCCACGCCTTCAAAAAAGAGAGGTCAATACATTAGAACAATAATAGATGACATTCGTGAGGAGGAAAAAAAAAAAATCGACTTGCCATTGAACAAAATATTCCCACAGATTCACAATTTGACGCACCAAAAAGTAAAGTAAAAGTTCAAATGCAATAATTATAAAAATGATCAACTATAAACGCAATAAAGGGAGCGAGATCATGAATTAAATTTTTCAAGTTTTCATTGAATAAAAAGAAAAAAAAAAAATCTAATGCCAACCATCATAGGAAACCTCACAATGTGATAGGAAATTCCTTCAAACCCACTGGGAACCTTTTGCCTTTTCTTTTTAATCTTTTGTCTAATTGGCATAAAATCCGTAGCGGCGGCAATATGTTCTGTTGAATCGTCGTCTGGATCGGCATTGAGAGCTTTCTCGAACGCGTCAACGTAGGAATCATCGAGAGGAAATTCCAGAGAGAATTCATCCACATGATGTTGAGTGTGTTTCTTTGCCTTCGAATATTTATGCGAATTGGTGGAAGAGGAGGCCACCGTTCTTGACGGCATACTTGGAATATGATGATAATAAATATGAAGCGAATTGTAATCTTACAATTTGGCGGATAAATCGAATTTCATAGGCAGTCTTAAATACGCAAATGATCAAGGACTAAACTTAAATTGGTTTGAAAAACTACGTAATGAACGGTACGTAGTGTTAAATATAATTTTGATCTTCGGAAATTAATGCGAATAATCTATTTTTAATATTTTTAAGATGACGTTTTTTGACTAACTCTTGACATTAAACCTGTGAGTTGCAGACAGGACCAGGGCTTTTAAATTAACTTGTTTATTTTTCTTGGGGTGCCAGTGATTGGCTGACTATGAAGACCGAAAATTTATTCGCCCCATGTGAATTTTTGGGGACGCCAAATGTAGCAATATGCATTTTTATTTTGATGTGCATAGCATGTTTCATGTTTTATCTCGTTTTATTAACCATGAAATCTTCGACTTCTTGGAATGCCTTTTTTGGAA